ACCTACTCTCTCTCTCTCTCTCTCTCTCTCTCTCTCTCTCTCCTCAGCTTTTCAGGATGATGGTATTATTGCAGGTGTGTTGGCCATCATCCTTGACATGGCTGATAACACTTGTCCTCTTATTCTCCGTTGGGCATGGGAAGAGCATTATAGTTGGAGGAGTTGCAGAATGGACCAACTTCCTCCAATCTCTCTCATCAGCCCCCGATTACTCTGCTTGGGCTTCTTCGCATACAGTTCACATTGGAGACACACTTGGTAACCTCTCTCTCTCTCTCACCCTATTCCTCTCTCTATCTCTATCTCTCTCTCTCTCTCTCTGTCAACCCATGTTTTCTTTTCTCAGTCTTCAAATACCGGAAACTTCAACACGGCGTATGCGTCTTCCGCAACAAGAGGGCTTTCGATTCCTGCAACTTCACTGAAGCAACTGTTCTCGATCAAGGTTATTCCGGTTCTTTCACGGTACGCTCTCTTTAAACTTCTCTCTCTTGCACTCTGTGATTTTCTCTCTCTTAAGTTTGCCATTGGGCAGCTTAGACTCAAATATGCCTTCTCTCTCTCACATATCTGCATTAAATCGGTTACTACCAGTTTGAGGATTTTAAACTTCACCTCTCTCTCTTCACTGTGTTCAGTGGCTTGCCTCGCGCCATGGCATCTTCTACTTCGCCTGCAACAAACCTATGGAGGGCGCCTTTTCCCACTGCCAGGCAGGCCAAAAAGTAGCCATAACCGTCCATCCAAGATCTAACCCCAAACTCTCGCCGGAATATTCCCCAAAACCACCGGAACATCATCCGAATCTGCCGGACCATTCCCCCTCTCCCTCTCCAACTTCAGGTGGCCCTCTCCCGCCAATCCACCCATGGCCCTTCATTTCTCCGGCGACATCCCCCCTCTCCTCACCCCCGGAAATGGGTTTTCCGGCTCCGGAAAACTCGGGAGTGCCTGATTCCGCCGGTGGGATGCCATTCATTAGTAGCACGCCTGCGGTTCCTTTGCCGAGAGGGGAAGCAGATGCGGCCGCAATACGGCCTCCTTTTCCCACTTCAGACGCCCCATACCAGGTACGAATTGCTGAGCAGACTATACAAACATAATAGAGGGGTTCTCTACGGTGGTCCCGCGTCTGGGTCACTAAGCAATTTCACAGGAAACAAAAGTGGCTTTGAGCTCAAATCCCCAGATCTAATCTTCCATCCAATTGGATGGTGGAGATTCAAGGGCATTTTGAAACGGGCGGTTCAAGGGCTGCAAATCACTTTTGATCTCTTTTCTTGAAATTGACCTTAGTGGGAGAGAAAAGTTTTTGAAACTTTTGGGTTCATGAAACTCCATTCGTGCAAGGGTCCCCGAGGACCGGCCTGGACCGGCTTTGAGGCTTAGGCTCGGCCGAACCGGGCTTGTAATGGCCCTAGTCCAACCATAGGGCCACATTTTGTGGCCTAGGCCCTATTATATCTTGGACGGACCAACGGAGCCGCCGAACTGATGCACAATTGGTCTCGCAGTACCAAATGCACAATTGCCGGTATGACTTGCGGACCAAATGCACAATTGGTCTCGCAGGACCGATAGACTCTTTTTGAAGAATGGGAATAAAAGCAGCGGGTCCGTTTAGTACCTGTGCGGTCTATAAACAATGCCAAAAGTAGATGCTTTATTGGATTCTTCTCCATCTGCTTTTCTTTTGGGGGTTAGATGGGCCAGCCACGTGTTTAGTAATCCACCCTTGTTTCATTGTTTTCCCCCCTAAAAACATGGGTGTAATTACTGAGTATTCCTGCTTTTTTTTCTTTAACCACAAAAATGGTTTGCGCGGGAAAATCGAGAACGTGGGTGGATTACTAAAATGGTCTGTGACCTTTTCTGTGACGGGTATGGGACCATTGGTTATGGGCTTTTCTTTTTCTTTTTCTTTTTTTTTTCGGTTAATTAAAGTAAATTTGCCTTTGCCTCGCTTTTGTTGGGTTGTTTGAACTTTTTGAAATTTTAAATTGGGAGCCGTGATGCATTGAAATTAGTATCGAAATACTATGCTACATGTCATAGAAGCATTGTATTGTTATCGAAATAATATGCTACATGTAATACGTGCAACGTTATATGTTATTATATTGGCGTGCTCTACGTAAGGTTCCCCAGGCTGGCTCTAAAAAACCAGGGCCTCTGTCAACAATATGGTATATATACAATTTTATTTTATTTGGCTCAACCGGACCTAATCCGGCCTTATAACATAGTTCGGGCTTGGACTTGGGCCTGGGCTTTGTGGCCCCTTAGTGCTAGGCCAGGCCTACACCAACCAGCCTGTTAGGGCAAGGTCCAGCCCTAGCTCTTCTTATTCGCCCAAGGGAAAGTACTTGGGTTCTCGCTGTTGATTCGAGGATGTCTTTTGTGTACATTTTTTAAACAAATATTAAAAACATATTATTGGGGTATTTTTAAATTATATTAACATTTAAAATGTACGTTCTAACTTTTGGAGGTACGTCACAAAATTTTGAAGATCATAAGGGCACTTTCATCAAATGAAAAGTGCACATAAATGATTAGGACAAAGGCTTGCATATTGAAATATATCATGGAGTGATTTCACTACGCTTCGATTTGGTCGTAAAGTCTGAAGAAGGGAAGTGAATCTGATGGCACTGATTTCAACCGTTTCTATTATTATGTATGATGCTCAGTGCCTTCACTCGTGTAGCATATGTTTGTATGTTTACATGACCATAGCGTATTAGATAGTCCGTGACTTCTAACAACGTTGGATTTTGAAAATGAATGGTTTAGTTATGGATGATATTGGCATTACAGTGTGGTCATAGACAGGGCACCGTCGTGGCCCATGGACGACGCCATCATCTAAAATTTTTCATTTGAAAATGGGTGGTTACAACACCCTATCCATTATATTTTCCAAGCAAAGAGATTGTTAGATGCCATGGCCGGTATTTTAAAATCGCCCATCTGGATTCGGTCTATGGATGATAGATTTTTGGACTCAGACGATTCTATTAACCCAACGAGGGGGTCTCCTGAGTGTGATGGTGCATATAGAGTTCTAGGCAACTAAGTCTTGGCAACTTCCTTGAGAGCACATGACGGGAAAGCCTTGTCTAGGAAGGTAAAGGAGTTTTTTTAGGACCCCAAGTTTTAGGGATATCATCTCTACTCAATCTAACTATCAAAACCAACTCAACCCTCGACTTAAAGAAAACGATGATGTATGTTTTAAGACTATTCACTTTTGGTACAAAGTGGTCACGATCTTTTTTAGCCATTAAATATGAAATCGAATAATATTGAAATGTGTCATAATATTTGAAAATTTATATTTTAGATTTTGCACCCAGTCAATGACACATCTCCAACTACTCAGTTTCATATCTAACTATCAATAATGATTGCAACTTCCTTATAATAAGAATAAATGATTTTATTGTAAATACTTATTGGAAAAAAAAATATATGTCTCCAAAAAATAATATCCTATCATTTATTAGAAAGTATCCGATTGTTGGACATCTAGAACTAGTGTTTAAAAATTTATAATTTAAAAATCTTGTTGAAAATACTCATATGTTGTTATGAAGTGAAACTTTTTCGAAGTCAACTTTGTCTTTTCTTTTTTTTAACATTGTGAACTATTACTTGCATTATATAAATAGCCAAGCTCCACAAGTACAACAATAATAATATACAACTATATATAAAGAGAGGAAGAAATAGAAAAATACCATTCCCTACTTCTATGAATGACCATCCTAGACTTTTAGAGCACAAAGAATCCTCAAACTCGAATGACCCTACACCATCACCTACCTAAGAACCCCACTAAGCCATGCAAAGAAACTTCCATCGATACAAAACTCTCTGGACCCGAACCTCTCATCAACGCTTTCAATAAGGGCCATTCCTTCAACAATAATCTCGGAAGCCAGGGTTGGGGTGACACATAACTTGCACTAGTCTGATAATGCCCAGAAGGAGATTGATTAGTGTTTAGTGGAATGCTAACGAATTTTGACACACAACCAGCGATTGAAAAGTAAAGTTTTGAAAAAAACATGTTTGAGAGAGATGGGAGAGAAAAAATGCCTATGAGAAGGAAGATACGGAGAAAGAGGGAACAAAGAGGAACCTAGAGGAGGTGGAAAAAAGAACCGAACTTAGCCAACTCCCTAAAGGGAGCTATATTAATCAAGACATAAGGAAATTGAAGTCTCCAAAAGGAAATATTGAACTCCACATGAAGGCTCACAAAAGTGCGCTACTACTACTAGACCGGGCCCGTTTTAGGCATTAACCTAGAGTGGCTAAATATAGGGGACTTCCCACTCTCGAGGTGTTGAGAGCCTAGAAAAAGATATCGCATTTTTAGCTAAGGAAATTCAAAGGAACTAAAAACTCTAAAAATCTCAGGAATCTGGCTCAGATCTTCTCTAGTTAAAACCTTAATGTTGTTTTATTAAATTTTTGTTTTTTCTTCGACCCTAAACCACTCTAGAGATTATGCTACTCTAGTGCACCCTAGTGCTCCATGCTCTTAACATCTGTCTCTCTATCTTTCTCCAACCCCGTATCATCATTTTTTTTCAAACCCCAACATTACGTTCTGGTAGTACATCTATCATCCTTACACCCATTATCATTATGCTATCTTTCACTCTACCCATTCTTTACCCTTTTATCTTCCCGTCTTTCTCTCTCTATCTCTTCATCATTATTTTAATCTTTTTTCATTACACTCACCCCTCTCTCTTCACTCATTCTTCCCCTTCTCTTTCTCCATCACTCCAACATCTCTCTCTCCCACTTCATCATTACACACACTCTCTCTCCATCATTGTATTCACTCCCTAATTGAGATATAAAAAAAAAAAAGGGAAGAATGAGCGGAGAGAAATAGAGTCAGTGTAATATTAAGGGGTTAAGGTAATGATGGAGAGAGAAAGAGAGAGAGAGAGAGTGAGTCATTAGAAATAGAGCGGGAAATAGAAAAGTAGATGAGTGAATGAAGAGAGAATTAATATAGTGAAGATGGGTGTAATGATAAGCGGTGTAATGATGGGATGTAATATTGGAGTTTGAAAAATAATAATAATAATGGTGGTTTGAGAGAGAGATACACGTTAGGACCGTGGACCTTGTAGTATGGAGCATTAAGGTATACCAGGATAAGATAGTCCCTGGTGCGGTCTAGGATAGAAAAATGAATTATTTTTAGGAAGGAAAAACTAAGGTCTTGACTGGGGAAGGCTATTCTGTAGATTTTCCACTGGAAAAACAGGTGTCTATAGGGAGAAAGGTCGAATGCAAAAGAAATGTCATGGATAAAAGATAAAGGGGGTAGAAAGAGTGGAGCAGGGAGAAAGGATGGTAGGTGAAAGAGGTAGATGGAAGAGACGAAAGGATGATAAAAAGTTTGGAGGAAGGGTGAGAATCAGCCCGCACACCCAACCTAAGGCCTTTCTTTCAGTGGATAGCCGAGAGAAAGCTAGAAAGCATTGAGAGGAGAAAACCTTATCTTAAAGAGAAGGGTTGAAAACAAAAGAGGGAGAGCGGGGAAGATAGAGGCTTGAAAAGGAGAGAGAGAAGGCAGGGTTGTCGAAAAAGAAAGAAGTAGAGAGATCCGAAAGAGAGAAAGGGGAGATTAGAAAGAAGTAGAGAACAAGGCTCTAGAGAGAAATGAAGTGAGATATAAGAGTGCGGAGCAAAAAAAAAGGGGAAAGAGAGAGAGAGAGATAGTACATCTGAAAGAAATAAAGATATAGAGGTGATCTAAAAGATGGAGAGCCAAGAACTAAGGGAAAGAGGCAGTTCTAACGGCAAGAGAGAGTAATGAGATGTGAGAGGTAGATTTAAGAGAGAGTAAGCAGAGATATAGGAGAAGATCTAATAGAAAGAGACAAAAAAATGTATGAAAGAAGTAGATTAGAGGGAAGAAGAGTAATCTGGCGGATGAAGCACGAGGCTAGTGGTAAGCAGGACTCGTCAACAAGTTTGTTAGAGAGAGAGAGAGAGAGAGAGAGAGAGAGTATTTCCCGAGCTGCAACAAAAAAGG